ACAAAAAAACTCTAGGAACGAGCCAACTAAGAACCTATTGCTCAGCAAATATGTAGAAGATAATGGAGATGGCTCAGGCACACGATGAAGAGACCGTTGGTTGACATCGTACAGCAGGCCATTGCTCGAGTAGAACCCGAGTAGGGGACACCGATTTGGGCTTGCTGTTCAGAGTGTCATGGGAGAGATCATGTGAGAAGGAGATGAGAAGCCATGGGAAATCTTCAGACCAGCTAAAGAGGACTGCAGAGAACATGGCGAAGTGGAGGTGTTCTATTATGTTCCTTTGTTCCACTAGGAACCCATGGGAATAATATAATAGTTTCTGTGTAAACGCAGTAACTTAGAGCTTTGATGAGAGAAATAGAGTATTTGCCGTATTTCCATTATTTAAAATGATTATTTAAATTCAGTATACCACATTTGTTAAAAAATTCCCGGTGGCTACATCCGTATGCCTCCATATCTGCAGAGGTGGACTTATATATATATGTCTTTCAAGATGTAAACAGTAGGATTTCCCCCCTTATCATTATAAGCCTATGAGTTCTAAAGCGTGCTTTTGAAGAAATTAGATAATACTGTTTTAAAGAATTTATAATGCGACATCATGACATGCTGGAAATATTAGCAAATTGAGACGAACTAATCTCATTTGATGATGAAATACACATATAGTGCAGTATCATCCTCAACAATTCGTCTGTTTCCAAATGTAAAAGTTGTACATCTTTACTTCTTTACCATTTTTGCATGAGTGAGCACAATTCCGTGTGTCAAATTTTACTTAGGCTACTGATATCAAATATAAGTATTACGATAGCGTACAAATTAATGATTAGTTGTCGTTCTCGGGAATGCCGTGAAAATACATTGCACTGATTAAGGCACTCTACTCGTACTCATACAGTCAGGTGAGGGCTTACGGCGAGCTGTCATCTGAAGTGGTGACGACTAGTGGTGCCCGTCAAGGATGCCCATTATTCTCTTTTCTATTCAACTTCATCATAGATGCACTAATGGAATTAACCCTAACTCACTTCAGCCACTCAGGGATTGACTTGTTACCACCACGGAATAATCTCGTTGATTTAGAATATGCAGACGATATAGTCCTTCTAGGCGAGGACGCTGACAAAATATGGCAGAGTCTTCTGAACACCTTGAGCTGCAATCTACGAATGTTTATCATGCGATTCGCTCCCTCTGTGAAATGTAAGATGATGTTACACGACTGGACTACACCGACTCCTAGATTAAAAATAGAAAGTGAATTGGTAGAGCACGTTGACCGCTTCACTTATTTGGGAAGTACCATCAGCCAACGCCAACGGGCTCATCTCTGACGAAATCTCAGCACGGATACCGAGGGCTAGTTTTGGATATGCCAGTTTACACCGTCTCTGGCGTAGACGTGATATCCGACTATCGACCAAAGGGCGGGTGTACTGCTCATCAGTCTGCTCCGTCCTCCTTTATGGCTGGCTAGCTGTGAGACCTGGCCACTGAGAGTGGAAGACATGAAAAGACTAGCTGTCTTTGATGATAGGTGCCTGCGTTCTATTTCCCGTGTGAAGTGGTATAATAAGGTGAGCAATATTGAAGTTAGGCTTCAGTCGAGTTCTGAGTAAAGAGTGGAAATCAATCGACGAGGCTGCGAAGCTACATCGACTGAGATGGTTAGGACATGTGTTACGTATGCCTAGTCATCTCCTTCCTCGACAGAGGGCGATGTTAGCTGATATAGGGTCAGGCTGGAAAAGAGCTAGCGGCGGTCAAACCAAAACATGGCACCAGTCAATGAAATCTATGACAGTTAGTCTAAGCCACGTAGGAAGGTGTAGACTTCCTGACTGACTGGTTGGGGTCCTCGAGACGGTAAAAACCAATGGTTGGAAATAATTGGTGACATGGCTCAAAATCGTTGTTGTCAATGACTGACGCAGATGCATCCACTCCTTGTGACTTATGATTTTCAATGAAACTGTTTTGTTCTTTGTTATTACTATTCCTTTGTCTCACACCTCTGTTTACTGTCCCTATTATGCATTTCTTCTGCTTTCTTCTCTTGCTTTGTGTGCTACATGGAGGGAGTGTGGCGACTTGAAGTGCCGCACATCTGTGCAAAGTTCTATGTCGAAAACAGACAGGTGTCGTGACGATGAATCAAATTGATGTTGAAATTTATCACTTCATCCATTTGAGATAGGACTTATCACCGATTTACTATGTTTGATACGTCTAAAAGAGTGCAGATGTCAAAATATTGACTTGTTGTTGTTCGAATTGGTGATACATAATGACCCAAGTTGCCATACCTTGACTAAGTTTCGATGTAGAAATTCGCACACAAAAGTGCAGCAGTTCAACATGTCACAGTCTATGTAGCACATAAAGTTTGAAGAAAGAAAAAAGAGTATAAAAGAACTGCAATGAGGAGGAATGTTTGGGAGAAGGAACAGTTACACCATTATGTCTATACTCATGCATTCCACTCCTTATGATCTGTCATACCCAAAAAAATCCCTATTGCTTCTCCATGTTACTATTGTTTACCCCACTCCACATTTCTGCTTATTTATGGTTCCTTTGAATATCTTTTTCCTCTCTTCTTTTGTGTGCTATATGGAATGTGGCGATAGAAACTTCTGCTACACTTCTGTGCAAAGTTCTATACTGAAATCGATCAGACTTTCTATTCAGACGAAAATATATTTCTGTTATTTCTTTGCAGTAGCTTAACTGATCACATGTAAACTATTATTTTTTTTCCATATAAGGTATCACATTTTTTTGCTAGTTTCATCTGTTGTTGTAGTAGTTAGTGTCCACTATAATATAGTGATGTCACTAGTTCTTATCATAAGCTTTTGTGATCACGTGGACTCCGATCAAGCAACCTACATTTACCTACAAATCTTAGATTAATAGGGCATTGACTTCACGGTTTATTATCTCTGGTACTGCTGTCCTAGTTATCTTGCATCCTACCTAGGTGTACCTAAGCGAACTAACAATACAGAACTGGTTTATGTGTCCAAACCAAGTTCACGTTTAATAGTTTGAAGAAAATTTGACATTGGGTATAAGATATTCGTTATTGTAAAAGGTTTTATATTTCTCAGTGAATGAAAAGCAAAACGATATTATTGTGTTTACTAACGTTTTGCTGATTAGTGCTGCTGCTAATAGCTTTATCGAAGTGTTGTTAAATCAGAATTTACAAAATCTCAGCTTATATACTGCAACTTAATCATCTTTCTTCGGTATGAGTTAATTCTTACTTTGTCAAGTCGATCATTTGACGGAAATAACAACCGTGTGTAGATTGTTGGATTCTATAAGTGTATGGAATTGAAATAACAGCACTTCTCTACACATTGGGATTGCTTACCACATTTGTGTTGATTTTGTCACTTCATAGGGTGGTGGGTGAAAGAGTTTGAAAACCAGGTCAAATTCTGTTTTAGTTAATCATTCCTATTAAGACAATTCGGATTCCATTTAATATGCAGTAATTTTGATATGAGACATTTTTTGTGATTCTGGGAATTTTTCTGAATGATTTCAATATTGTGGTCTGATTCTATAGCGTGCAGACGACTTCTGACTGACGATTTTCCAAGCTTTTCTAGTTCACAACTGGATTTCTCAATGGTGTTCATTTCTTCTGACCTTGATTTCTCTCGAGGTTTTTCGGATATGTATCATATCGCATCACATGAAGTGACAAAATCAACACAAATGTTGATGAACAATTTTCATCATGTAAACACGTGCTGTTTTTATAATTTCATACATATATCATCAAATCCAACAAATCCACACATGGTTTGGTTATCCTTACCAATTGACCAACTTGACAACGTAAAATAACTTCATGGTGAAGAAGGATGATTAAGTTGTTATATATAAGCTGAGATTTTGTAAATTCTAGTTTAATATTAATGCTTCGATAAAGCTATTAGGAGTATAAAATAGCCAGACGTTAGTAAACAAGACAATATCGTTTTGTTTCTCATTCACTGGGAAATAGAAAAAGCTTTTTATGGTAAAGAATACAGGACTTGTTTTACCAAGTGTAAAGACATCGTGTGACTTTATTTTCTGTCGTGTGTTTTATTATTATTATTGTTCCCTTGGGTTCCTAGTGGAACATAGGGCTTCAACTGCACGTCTCCACTTGCCACTTCTGTCTTCCTTCTGCTGTACTTTTCATCTGCATCCATGTTAGTCCATACTCTTTCAACTTCTCTTCACACGATCTCCTCCATGTCACCCTTGCACCGACGTCCCACTCGCCGCTTCCCTTTCGGGTTCCACTTGAGCGATGTCACCCAGCGGCCTCCTCAGCGAGTATCAAATCCATCTCCACTTTCTCCTGCATATTTGTTGGGCGATTGATTGGTTCTTGTTTTGTTTGTTCCCATAGTTTCTTGTTGGTGATTCTTTCCGGCCACCCGGCCATCTGATCTTCAGTATAGAGCCAGCGAAGACAGTTGTTGGTTGATAAAGGTCTGCAACAGGCTATTGGAAATATTCTTTGTGACCCGCCAGCCAAGTTTCTGATCCGTATAGAAGTACTGACTGACTTGACGTTGTTTGTATTGAAAATCCGACTGGATTTTGTTGTTGATGCTGGCTGAGTGACGAAGATTTCCAGATTCGTTTCAGGTTGATGAATGTGTTTCTCGCTCGTCTTCCTGATTCTCTGTCGTGTGTTACATCTGTTTTATTGGGCAGTCTATTCATCCATGTATTCATTAAGATTGGTTAGTATTACTACTTAGACAAAGCAGTACGAAGATGTGATTTATCTGAATCGTGTGATGTATTTGCGCAAATACACTACACGATTCAGAGAAACTACGTCTTCTTATTGCTTTGACTACATTCATACAGAGGAGCTAGTTGTTTTAAAGTATTGCTATTGTTTTTATTATTAGTATTATTATTATTTGTTCGTCTCTGTAAACCTCCCCGATACTCTCTCTCTCTAGGTGTGGATCAGTAATGGAGATATAATTTTAATCGGTTTACGAGACTATCAAGACAACAAAGCTGATGTGATCATGAAGTACCTGAACGATGAGGCAAGAACACTGAAATCATTAGGTACGTTTGTTTTCTTTTGTTTGTTTTCTTTTCTGTATGGAATATTTTGTAAATTATTTTCACAAAATCAGATGAGCAGTTTTTCAGAAGTCAAGATATTTTTATGTGAAATCGCCCCTTCATTTTAATGTGATGCAAAATTACCAGACCTTTGAACCTTATTAACCAACCTGGGAGGTGAACCGCAAGATATTGTAACGTGAATGTGTGGTCTAACAGAACTATGGAACATATTTCACTTGTATATACTACTCAATATCATCGTTAGCGCATCACGGAGAGCATGATCGTCTGTTGTTTTAGATGCGACACGTGGGCTTTTCAACCAATGAGTTGGTTCCATTCAAATTCGCTTTGACCATCGATGATGCGTCACTATTTGTTTTAAGCAGGATTAGAAATATGAGACCGTGTACGTTGGTGATTCAGCGGAAGGGTGCTTGTTCGCCACGCCTCATGTGATCCCTGAAGTTCGACTCACGACCGACGTATTTTTACATCTCGCGCAGAGACCGTAGTAGGCCTGGTAAGGTTGGGTTAGCAAACCCCATCCCGTAGAAAAGAATAACACCACTGCTACTGAAACTTCAAAGCTGAGGCCTAAAGTCCTGTTGTAACGGTAAGAGATGAGAGACTTGGTAAAGAAATTCGGTGTAGCGAAATTATGTACACCTTATCTTCAATGCACCATTTGCACAAATCTTCCGTGTTGTGCTCCTTTACTTCTGGCCTTCCTTCATGTTGTGTTTCTTTGTGTTCCTTCCACGTTTCCTCCGATGTATCTCCGCAACACTGTATCGTTTGCCTTTCCTGACATGTGATATCTATCTCCCTGCTATTCGATGTTTTCCTGCCGATAAACCTGTCTTTATATACTACTGGTAAATCTTATCAGTAGTCCACGCAACATTATGTCCCACTCAGAATGGAAATGGAATGCAATGGAATAAAATAGGAAATTTAAGTAGAATTGGCACGACATAACGGAGTGAACCATAGGCCTGACATATGCAAGACAAATCTCCTCTCTTAGTGACTTTACGAACTAGTGAGTCCACCTCAAACTTAAAGCAGTCTGTCTTTACTCACCAACAGAAACACTGTTTTCTTTGAAACATCCTTTGAACTTACAGTATGAAGTCTTCCAGTTGACGGTTCACTAATGGGAATGCTAAAAAGCAGTTCTTCATTGTGTTACCAGTCCATACGAACAAACCAAATTTTCCGAGAGAAACAATATGATACAATTTGTCGGGTAAAGTTACAGCTTCTGCTATCGTTGTTTTATCCACACGCGAAAATCAATAATCAACGTGGAAATTTCCTTTTACAGTGTTTAATATCCTCTCGTCAAACGAGTTGAGATTATTGATACCATTTTGTCTTGAAGCATACATTGAACAAAACAGCAATGAAGTGGGGCATTAAAGGAACTTATATTTAATTTATGCATACTTGACGGTAAATCAGCTCCACTCTCAGGATTCTGTAAGAAACTAAATGGCCTTCCTATCTTTGATAGAAATCAACGGATAAACTCGTCTAAAACTCGTCGTATTTATTGTCATAAATATGGTGATCTTTCAGGGGCATTCCTCCAAACTTGGAGTCTTTGGAAGTTGTATAGATTTAGTCAAACTGGTTGCATAATATCTCCAAGGCTTTGTCATAGTGTGACTTTGCAGGCATCAACCGATGGTTATCATAATTAGCTGTGTGTGCAATGGTGATATTGAAACATTTTTATAAGTTTCGAAACTCAGTTGATGCTCTGTAAAATTTGTCAACCTCAGTTCTAGACATCCCATTAGAACTAACGAGATTCCGAAGTTGGGGTGTGTGTTAATGTTTCGCTTCTTTGGTGTTCTCATCAGATGACTATTATCAACATCAGTAACTCAGTTGGTTTTGGAAGGTTCGAGTCTTATCAGCGTCAGTAATTGATCGCTGATCCATTATCTCAGAAAGTATCTTTATTCTTCTTAGCTTATGTTTGCTGTGCTTAAACGCTCTAAATTCTAGGTCTATAATCTTTATAATAGTCTCACTAGTTGATTGATTCAACATGAAAGTCTTAGTGAAAATTAATAACTACGTACGATAACCTTAAGGGGGTTGTTCACAGTAAGAAAAGATAGAAATATAATAGGGTAAACAATTAATTTGTGGTGAACAGAATTTCTCTCTAGAGTTACAGTTTTCTTCTGTGTCCACTGCACTTTTTTCATACATCTAGTGATCAATATTTGGTAGTAATCCAAATTGACTTGCGAAACGGAATTTGACTACTGTAGAATACTTGTGAGCAAAGTATTAGATTAGGCAATTAGAAGTTGGATAACTGGATAATGTGTCAGTTGTATCAGCACCAATGGACTGATTGGCGACGAAATCTCAGCAAGGATCCAAAAAGCTTGAGCTGCTTTCGCTAACTTACACCATCTCTGGCGTAGGCGTGACATCCGGCTATCAACCAAGGGACGTGTGTACTGCTCAGCCGTACAATACAAGTAGTTTAGAGGGTGTGGAAACACACAAAAAAAACCAGTCACATTCAAGATTACCAAAAGAAATAACTAATAAACTCATAGAGAAATCTAAAAGCTCACTTTAAATCGAAGTATTCTATGCGGATATTGTCTAATAAGGCGATAAGAGCTTCTCAAGTTAACCATCCAGCTCAGAGGACACAATCACATCAAAATATTCGCAACTTGCCATAGAGAACAACATCGTACCGGGTGATTTGTTTAACTGCTACATTCATTTCAAAACTGGCAAATATTGTCATCCATTCCTCTTCTAGACATGTTTTGTTCGTCGTTGTCTGTTGTTTGTGGGGTTCTCTTCCGAGTTGTAACCTTCTCACTTTCCTCCTTCAGTAATGACTTATCCAAAAATTATCATCATTTCTCCGAAGATTTTATGCTTAACATACTACTTATATCTATATTCATTGGTGAACAGCATATCACAATACATGACTGTAGTGTACACTAACCCCTGTAAGAGATGAGAATGAGGTTTCATCTTATCTTATCTTTCGAGTGGAACATTCTTTAATTCCTTTTTAAACTTATGCTCACTGTTAAAGACTCAATTGATTTTGGGAATTCGTGTTGTGTTCAACTCCGATGATGCGGATTTTACGAAAAGCTTCTGTCTGATTGTTTGAATAGCTTTCATCTTCCAGTTATTTTTTCATTACCCTTTGATATTTTAAAAAGTAAATTGACTATTTCTTGTTGTTGCTGTTGTTGTTTAGCCATCCCATCACATTTCTATGTGTTATTTATGCATAAAGAACAGTTACTTGTCTTTCTATTGAATCCCTGAAGATTATTGGATTATTCATATGAGAATTTCTTGCCTTAATCTAATCTTTACTACGGGGATTTTTCATATCAGATGACTTCAGGTACTAAGATTAGGGTTTGATGAATATGGGAGGTCATGAAGAGTGAATGCATCTGCGCCAGTCAGTGGTTCTAAAGCCAGCTGCCTGGCTCAGTCGGTCATAGCGTCGTGCTAATTGCATCAGTGGTTCAGAGGTAGAACGCTCGCCAAACACGTACACGTGATCTAGAGTTCAAATTCCGACAGATGCACGCCTTAACTGCGCTAAGTTGGTATTAAGTCCAGTGAAGAGAGAAGAATGACGATGAGACCAGCGACCCCATCCCCCGTAAAAATGATACAACTGTTACTCTAAGCTCGAAGCTGAAGTCTGAAGTTCTGTGTCCCACTGAGATTGGAAAGGAATAAAAAATAAAATTTGTCCGCTGAATCCCGAAGACCCGAACCAGAAAGCCTCCATGGCCCTACGCGAGCTGACTAGCTCTTTCCCAACCTTATCCTATGCCAGCTAATATTTCCCCTTGACGAAGGTGATGGTTACGCATACCTAACACATGTCCTAACCATTTCAATAGATGTGGCATCACAACCTCATTTGTTAACTTTCCCTTCTTACCTAACACTCCACGCCTGACCAGAATATTACTCACCCTGTTACACCATCTGGCACAGGAAATGGAACACAGACACCTATGATCAAAGACAGTTAACCTTTCCACATCTTTCACTTTCAGTAACCAAGTCTCACAGCCATAGAGGATAATGATGCGAACTACTGAACAGTTCTACATACACTTCCTTTGATCGATAGGTGGATATCAAGGTCTACGTCAGAGGTAATGCAAACTGTCTTTTGTTTTCGTGGTGAGATTTCGTTAGCTATCAACCCATTGGGGCTTAGGCACTCCTCACACACTATTTAATATATTTAAACGAGTATTGAAAGCTGATTATTGCTTGCGTGTTAACGTGGTATTTTATCGACTACGCTAATCTTTCATGATGTCGTCGTAGTAGTAAGTCAGAAAAGTATAAATAAATAGGCATAAAAGGAAACAGCTTTCGTACTAGAAATTTTTTATTAATCTTATTTGATTATTAGAATTAATGTGTTGGCCAATTTTTGTCGTTTCATGCAACCAGCTACAACTTGTTTTAATGCATTTCTCTTCTCATGTTGGTTGGACATCTGAAGATAAACCTTATAGGTTAAGCACTTGTTCATACACCATGTTTTATAACCTTTTATTAATATGTCTGCTTTTTTAAAAAAAAACACTTTTATTATCAGGTGAGATCCCAGATACTATAAAATTGGAAGAGAATGATGATATTGAATTCGATGCAAATGCTGCTATCTTCGATGAAGACGAAGATGGTGAGAAAGGATCTGATTCAGATGAAGAAGAAGAAGACGGCTCAGATGATGATAGTGATGATTCTGATGATATGGAAGAGGTGAATCAAAGATTTCGTGCTGAAGCTAGCGTCACTAAGGATCAGCGAAATAATCGTCGAAGATAATTGATTGGCTATTGTGCTGGCGCGTTTTCTTGTTTATAAAAAATTGGGTTCAATTTGACTACATATATTGTTGTAAGTTGAATTTTGCTTTTTTCTCTCTTAAAACTGATTTGGTTTATTTACGAATAAAGAGTAAAGTTTTCCAGGCTGTAGGTTCCGACGTCCTTGTTTGGGACTCTTCAGCAGTATGCATTTATGACCCTACTGGGGGTCGAACCCAAGACTTTGATGTCACAAGTGGAACCTGTACACCATTCAGCCACTGGGATGGAATACAACAGTCATCCCATAGGATCTAACTTCTGCCAATTTTCCGTACATAGCGCGGACACCGGCCAGTGTCATCATCGGAGAAAATACCTGTCCTCACACCCATCTTGGTGTTGGACCCCAGTAGAACTTCTAACAGTTTCATCCTGTCGTCAGTCACTAGTAAGAACTAGGTTAACTTTCACTTGTTGGTTTGCATGGATATGATTGGTTCCAAGTTTGCTCACGGTCCTTGGATCAATTCATGGAGGGGGGGGTGCATGTGTGCGTACTGGTGAAGAGTCCCAAACTAGTCCACTACTCCCTGGTTCTCAGTAGTCCTTTAACTAAACCTCAAAATTTGTAATTATTATCTCACGTCTTTGTTGTTTCCTGTTTCCGTCTTCGACTGCTTAATTCAAAATTATTCTTCTTCATATGTGGTGGACGGTTTTCCATCCTGTTTAATTTCACATTCATGTTACATCGAAAATCAAATCTGGGAGGGTTCTGCTTCCTAGGCAGATAGATGCCTTGTGCTGAATAATGTTTTATTGCACAATAAGTAGAGTTCGAGCACTCTTCTAGGCCATATTTCTATTTGTGTTTCTCAATTATGGCATGTACAGTGAGATTTGTATTTCTGTTTGTCAACGTTTACCATCGTCGTATGAGCGCGGTGCTTTTCTATTTTGTGTGCGTTTATTGAACAACTAAAGCTTCAGTAGTTAGTGTCTCCAGAATATTATTCTTTGTCGTTATCATTATCATTTATATTATTATTCCTTTGGGTTCCGAGTAGAATACAGAGCCTCAGCAATACATCCCCAGTTTGTCCTATTCTCTGCAACCCTCATTAACTGCTCCCTTGGAGATGGTCCGTATGACTTGCTCCATGTCACCTTCGGACTCCTAATCCACCTGTTGGTTCCTACTCGGGTTCCAATCGAGAGCCTGGCGCGAAGTATCAACGGTGTTCTCAGCGTGTGTCCAATCCATCTCTACCTTTTCTTTGGGATATATTTCTTAACTGATAGGTTCTTGGTCTTTTGGTTGGTTCCCATAGTTCCCTGTTCCTATCCTTCCTGACCATCTGTTGATAAAAGTCTGAGGTAGGCTGTTGGAAATGCTTTTCGTGACGCGATTGACTTAACATCGGTGTTGAAAATCCGAATTTTGTTGTTTATGCTGATTCGAGGAGATCTGCTTTTTATAGTTTTCTATCTTCCCCCTTGTTATTAATTGCAATTTTTCACATATCCTGTATAGATGTTGCGTCACTTTGTTTACACTTGTTTGGTGATGGTTTGATGAATAAAGATTAGGTGATTAACCTCTCCATCCGGCAAAGTTCAACAATAGCGTCCCTGGAGTGTGAACGCTCCAATGACCTTGAACGCATGGCCAACGGCACCTGTAATGGGATTCGACTGTCGACTGACTCACTCCTGAATATCGTTCAGGCGATAGCAAGCACTGTAATGAGGGAAAGTTGTACATGAGGCTGGCAACCTCACTGCTACTGAAACCTAAAAGCCCGCACTTGAAGCTCTCTGCTCCACTCGGATTGGAAGGGAATAAAATGACAAGATAATAATAATAATAGCTCCTAATCATTCAATTATTACTTTGTTTTATTCCTTTGTGTTTGAAGCCGAACACTGGCCTTCAAGCTCTCAGCTTCAAAGTTTCACTAGTAGCGGTGTTTATATTTACAAGGTTGGGGTTGCTAGTCTCAAAGAGAGGTTTTGTGTGCGTTTTGGATTTGCTAGTTTTGCTAGTCTCAGGGCTAACCTCCCCCTCTTTCCCGGCCTTACTACCAGCTTAGCGAGGTAAGGGAGTGCGTCGGCCGGGGATCGAACCCTGGTTTACGTGTGGCGCGGTTGGCGAGCGTTTTACTGCTGAACCACTGGCACACACACATTATTATTACTATTATCATTATTCAATTTACTGTTTTTGATCTCTTTATTTTACAGGTTTCTCTCAGATATGATAATCGTATATAGATTGATAATGTGTGCCTCCTACGTATGCTTTTGTCCGTGTCATCTCGAATGTGTATGACAACTGTCCATAGACACACTCACACAAACATAAAGTCACTTCTAGTGTGTGTATATCTAACTTCCACAAGTGTTGTCTGTATTTTGGTACTTTATCTCTTCTTTGACATTAGGCAAAATATTTGAGTATATATTCTTGTCATTTTAAATAAACAAATGAACAAAATAATTGATTTTTATGCGCAGTGGGAATGCACAAAGATATACTATTCTTCTCCTTTTATCTTAATGTCTTTTTCAATGATGTAATTTCTATTCTTCGGTTATCATCTCATCAGAGAAACAAATGTATGTTAGTCAATCAGTTGAATGTGTGTTTTCTTCAGTTGTTTTAATTATGCGATCGATATTCGTTGTTTCTGCGTGTGTGTGTGAGTGTGTGTGTGTAGACGTCTTTATGTGTACATGAGTTTACAGAATACAGCGAAACTCCATTATTGTGTGGAGGATTATGGTTGTGATGTTTTTCTCCCCACCTGTCCATCTCTCATTACGAGGACTTTCTCATGCTTATTGTTCTTGTGTAGAGGGATATTCAGTGCAGTAGTCCTGGCGAAGTGAAACTTTAGGCATCGTTGAAGGCACTACCGCACCAATCACCTTAGAACGTCGAGTCAATAAGTTAGCGATATCTGGTAAGTTTTAGTTTGGGTTCAGATTAGGGTCAGGTTAGGGGGTTAGGTTAACCTGATTAGCGAGAGATCTCATTGGTTGGTTCGAGGTCGAGTGAGGCTAGGCTGGAGACAGATTACGGTTGGATTATGTTAAGGGAAGGTTAGGGTTTGAAGACCAAATTTATTTTTCAGTGCTGTGGCTGTTTCCAAGGTTGTTGGAGCCTTCGTGCCTCTTTGATACCTAAAGTGTGACCTTACCGTAGTTCTTATACGAAAATATCTATCTCAAATCGTAAGTAACTTGTGTTTCGCATCTTATGCAAATTATTATGAAGTGTATATATGTATAAGAATATATTCAAAACCTGGTTATATATATGTACATCGATGTTCTTACTAGGATCTTGTTGTGAACCTGTCGCCTATAAATGTTATGGGGTCGTTGCCGATGTTATGATGTGACCGAGTATAAATATACGCTAATGAGATATAACGGACGATAACGCACAGACAGGTACTGCTGAGTAGTTAACTTGTCCTAACGCGAAGGAGGCAAATCAGAAGACCATCATGTTCACGAAGATACGTGTATTTTCCAACAAGGAAAATTAATTGTCACACAAGAGTGTGAGTGGGATGGTACTAATGAGTACGAAAATGTGTGTATTAGCTGTACAATACAAGAGTAGACATGAAAATGACTAACATACATGAACCAATAAGGCAGACAGTAGTTTTTCTTACCATCATTGGATTCTGATTGGTTGTAATGTCATGTGACAAAAAGGCCATACATTGTTTATTTAGTTAATGAACAGATAAAGCATATTGTGAGTTATAATGGGAATAACAATCAATATACACATAGTAAAATATACCAGGCTGTCCAAACAAAGACAGACATTATGTGACTACATATCAGATCTAGTCATAAATCAGTTGTGAGATTGACAGTTTCACGAAGAAGAAGGTAACGAAAGGTGCTGAAACTCACTTCCCTATGGCAAAAAGAGTTCTAATATTTTGCGTTCTCATAATTTAAACTCTTGTGAGGTCTTGTCGAAATTTATCTCAACAAGGTTTGTTTACTTCAAGGTTGTACTTGATCTTTATTTAGACAGTGAAAACCGCCTAGCGTAGTGAAGGTCTGCAATCGTCTTTTTGAAAACATTTATTTCTCGATACAATTTTAAAACAAGCAACAAAGCAGGTTAATAAAGCGGGATTTAATGAATTCATTAAATTTCGGTAGAACTCTTCCTGAGGTGCATATCCTCTACATATTATTATTATTGCTCCCTTGGGTTTCTAGTGGAACATAGGGCTACAACTGCACGTCTCCACTTGCCACTTCTGTCTTCCTTCTGCTGTACTTTTCACCTGCATCCATGTTAGTCCATACTCTTTCAACTTCTCTTCACACGATCTCCTCCATGTCACCCTTGCACCGACGTCCCACTCGCCGACAATATTCAATGTAGTTTGTTTACTTATCAGTCTTGTATCTCCTAATGTAACTTCAAAAGTATATATATGTATATATATCCGTGTATGTAGAGTATTCATCTGAGGAAGAGTTCTACCGAAGTTTGATGAATCCATCATTAAATCCTGATTTATTAACCTATTTTGTTGCTTGTTTTAAAATCGTCTTTTTGTTTTTCCTGCCTAATGAAATTCAAATGACTGTTGTTTGGCTTGTGTGTGCTACTGGCAAGATTTATCTGCGTTATACAGATGAAGATTGATAAGAAGCAACCGAAATTGGAGTATAAAATTTTAAGTGAATAGCTATTGGAAGCGTGTAATCCTCAAATCTAGATTTAGTTTACGTCGTGATCAGGGCAACTTTTCACCTAAAGGTTTAATCCTCGGAAAGTCGACAACCAGTCAAGACGGTTTATTTGTTCCCTGACCTAGCCAACTTTTATCGTAGCTAAAAATGTATTAATAGGGTGTTTTTTCCTTTTATAAAATGTCCTCCACGAAGTCTGTTGTCTCCTTCCGTTACAGTAGCACAAAAATATATGCTACAAAGTCCCGCTAAGGTTGTGGCAAATTCTGTCATCATCACTGTGACTCTGTTTTCTCTTAAATTGACTCATATACTTGATATTGGATGGTTGGAGGCACTTGACTATAGGGAAGCCCTATCTGACCTAGGTTTCGTGCTAATTGGCACTCATCTGCAACCACCTTGAAAGAACTCATGTCCCTTCTGAGATTCGAACCTGCGTCACCATGTGCCACCTGCAGTCAGAGGTGTTACCACTGAGCTATTCAAGCTCACGATCGACCTCCGGTAGGACTGTATTGGATATTGTTGATTGAACACTATTCAGTAACTAGTGTAATGTGTCTGTTTGCATCTTTGGTGGAGACTGAATTCTGTCAGTTCAGTCTGCAATGTGGCCAGTATTCTAGGGGGCTCGCCATCACGGTGCACTTTGAATAGTTACTATTAGATGGTTGGAGGCGATCATCAGGAAGCTTCGTCTGATCTAGGTTTCTTGCTAGTTGGCTAGTCGTCGTCAACAATTCACAGTAGTGTACCGTGATGACGAGCCGTCTGGCATAATGGCCACAGTGCAAACTTGACTGATAGAAATCAGTCTGCACCAAACAGAGGACTAGACATATTAAACTAATTTCTAACTAGAGTATAAATCAAAAATGACTTATATGTATTATGGAGTGGAATTTCGGCAAACACTTGCTGTGATGTTACTCTTATTACTTTTATTATTTCCTTTAATTGTTAGAGGAACAAAGGGCTTTAGCTGCACGTCTCCACTGCGTTCAGTTCTCTACTAAAGTTTTCACCTGGCTCCAGGTCTGCCCACATGCTTTCATCTCCTCCTCACATGCCACCTCCTCCAAGTCACCCTTGCACTGACGACCAACTCGCCGCTTTCCTTTCGGGTTCCACTCGAGCGATGGTTTGTCTAGTGATGTCACTTGATGGCTTCCTCAGAGTATGACCAGCCAATCCATTTCTTTCTGCTTATATACTGCACAATCGGCATTGAGCGAAGGCAGCTGTTGATGAAGGTCTGTAGTTTGTTTGAGGTGCTCGTTATGACTCGTCAAGTCTCTGATTCGAATAGTGAGTTGCACTGACTTCACATTGAATTTGAAAATCCGGATCTTATTTTTCATGCTGAGTGGGCTGTTGACCTCCACACAGACTTGAAAGTAATGAAAGCTTGCTTTAAGTTAATAATTAAATCTACTTATATGCAACAGTAACTTTTGGAACAGATGACTCACTTCCAATTGAGGTATTCGGTAAAAAGCTATGCGTCAAATTCTAGTCAGACAACTTACTGCCAACTGTAGAAAGGAATTTATTATAGATGAGATTTTAGTTTGATAAGCCACACAGTGTCATACAGTATTATTAACTGATGACTTTCCGAGCACAAACTATTGCCACTCATAATCATATCAAATCACTCACACAACTTTTCACTTCATTTATATAGATGAGTGGAAATTGATCAGACATTTGAATAAAAATCAATACATTATCCTATATTGATTTTATTCAAATGTCTGATCAATTCCACTCATCTATATAAATGAAGTGAAAAGTTGTGTGAGTGATTTGATATGATTATGAGTGGCAATAGTTTGTGCTCGGAAAGTAATCAGTAAATAATACTGTATGACACTGTGTGGTTTTTTAACTCATGGAAAATTCCCATTGTAACATTTAGAAAATCAAAACAAGTGATTCAGCGAAGAGACTCTTTTCAACGAATTTATCATCAAGCTGTACAGTCGTATATATATGGTTTATCAGAAGTTATATCCGGTGAGGGAATTGAATCTTAGGTGTGAATGCACAAAATAATAATAATAATCATATGAAGTTCGATTAAAACTAAAATGTTTGTGATTATAATCGTAGTTAAATGTCAAGTGGCAAAGCAGATTAATGTCATATATAGAATAATTCATAGGAGGGATAGAACTTGAAAAAGGATGTGCAATTATAGGATTAGTAGGCAAATCGAATAAAACAAAAACGTTACGTAATATTGTGTGAAATTTAATAGCATAGAATTTATCGTTGTAAAAACAATTGATTTAGAATGACAAGTGGAACAAGTGAAATAATACCGGGGACAGTTCAAAGTGAGAATAGTAATAATAACAATTGACTTAATAAGGAAGAGTATACAAATTGAATAGACAAAATGAAAAATTGGTAGAGCTAAAATATGATTGGGGATTATCATATTTTAGCATAGAGGGATTAAGACCATGAAAGTTGGAGGGGTTGAACGAACTTTTTCTGTACACAGAGATCT